TTTAGGATGGGAGTAGGAGAGACATTAGGTGTTCAATCCTTTGCATGACAACATTAGGATAGTATCTTCCCTTTCATCCCAACTTTAGGAGCATTGTGCATGATAACTTTAGGGTCCAGTTTCCCCTTAGTTCGAGTCTTTCTCTTCTCATCTCCTAAACAATTCAATACACTTAATAAAGAAAGATTTGTGTTGTACGCTACGAGCCTTAAGTACTCAAAGAATGATGGTTGGGGGCCTCCTCTCAACTGTCTAGAATGTTTAGCGTATGCCCTTTGGGCGATATGCGACGCATTCGCTCTCGAGTCATATTCTTTAGTGCGACATGAGTTTCAAACCATAACTCAATCCACTTCTTGTCTTAAAAAACACAAAATAAACACATCAAATCTTTTTTATCCTTCGGGATCTTAATTAGAAAACCATTTTCAGAAAGAGTTTTGTTAAGCTTTGATTCTACCCCAAACAGGCATCGTCCCTAACTGCTGGAATCACTGTTTAACCCTACTCGGTTTAAAACGCTTGAACCAACCTGTGGTCGTGTCAGCCCGAACTACGTTTGCTTTGATTTCTCGTACCAGACGAGGATACGTAGGCACAAGACAACGATGTCTTGGCGAGTAACCTTCCCCCACCTTCACCCGTAGTTTTCCGAACTACGTTGACTCTGACTTTCCCATTGCACGAGGGAATACGTAGGCATAAGGCGGCGATGCTCTATCGAGTCTCTTTTTCTTTTCTTTGTCCCCGTGGCCTGTAGCTTAGATAGTTTTACACCCTTATAGATTAGACAACAAGCGTGGATCCCGTCGAGTACGACGAACATGACGGGTGCTAATGCCTTCCCCTTGCGTAACCGACTCCCGAACCCGAGATTTGGTTGCGATGACCTGTCTTATTCCCTTTTCGTTAGATTTTCTCTGATCGCTTCCTTTCCCTCTCTTTGGGATAAATAACGAACGGTGGCGACTCTTCTGTCATTGCCAGCCCTTCTTCGCAGCGATGCGACACTTATTCCTAATAATAGTATTAATAATTATTATTATTATTTCCACTAATTATTTAATTTAAATCATTTTCACCTATTATTATATTAAATAAATAATAACTAATATAAAATAATTAGTTTTACTCTCAACACCCTCAACCTCTACAATTTTACTCACACACCCCTAACACCTTAAATTCTATTCTTTAAGGTTACTATCTCACACCAAAACACCAACAATTCATACAACAAAAAACAATTTAATTACAGAAAATAATGGTCGTGTTTTATGATCGATTTAGATCTTTAGGGTTTCAGTAGTTATAAATATGATTTTCTCTCACTTGTTGTAATTACAAGTTGCATAAGGTGTAGATATCCTAGTGAGAAGCAAGGGTAGAAATTCTTCCGATTCTATTCTTGGAGTTTGTTAGCCTTTGGGATGAGATTTTTACCTGCCACCCCCAAACTTAAATATCACACCACTCCAATTGAAATTTTTTTTACCATAAGACCCTTTGTGAATTTTTATGATTTTAAAGAATATTTTGTATTTTTCAGATTTTTCAGATATTTTTGAGATTTTACCAGATTATTTAGGAAATCTGAGTTTTACCGTATTTTTGGAGAATCTCATGACCTTTTACCAGATTTTTTAAAAACCTATGAGTTTTTACCGGATTTCTTAAAAAAAGAATGTAAGATCATATTTTTTTATCGGATTTGAACTATTGGATTTTTCAAAAAGTTATGCGTTTTTCTTGGATTTTTTAAAAACTTATGCATTTTTCTTGGATTTTTCAAATATACTATCATATTTTTCAAAAATCTGTAAGTTTTAACCGGATCTTTCAAAATATTTATGAGTTTTTATTGGTTTTTTCAAAAAAACCTATGAGTTTTTACCGGATTTTTAAAAAAAATTAACTTTTTATCAAATTTTTCAAATATACTACTGCATTTTTCAAAATACGATGAGTTTTATCAGATTTTTCAAAAAGTCTGATAGTGTTAATTTTTTTTTTGCCTATCCAAAATAAACTATCAAAATTTTCAAAAATTGAGAAACTTACCGAACATATTGGATTTACGAAAAAAATGCTAGTGTTAATTTCGTTTTTTTATAAGCCTACTCAATATGAATTATCATATTTTTAAAAACCGATATATATTTTCACGCATAGACTTTTTGATAAAAATCGGTAAAAATATAATACCTATTATATTTTTAAAGCAGACTACTGGATTTTTCTATTTCTATTGAATTTTTATTGCACTACCGAATTTTTCGTGTGATATTTTTTGATTAACTTTTAAATATTATAAAAAATTAGAAGTCGTTATGTTTAAGTGTTGGAGTGGCAGGTAAAATTATTTTTTTAAAAATATCAAATGGGTTTGAGAAATTTTTTAAATATCTTGGATTTATATATTTCATATATTGAAAGTTTGGTCAACTGAGAAACACTTGAATGAATAAAAAATATAATTTGTTGATAGAAAATTTGAAAGCCTATTTTCTTCCTACTCAGCTCTTGTAAAAATTATAATCATTTTCATTTGACTTCCTTGTTCACTGTCACATAAAACATGCTTTATTTATATTAAAATTTAATCAAAGAAAAAACATGAATGAGTTTGTACATGTATTAGAACATCATGAGTATTAGTGTATAACCATTCCAAATACTATATGAAATTCCAATAATTATTGAAGGGTTTGTATAGAAATTTACATTGAGTCACGGTAAGAAAAACTGCATTTTGCTAAGTGATTTAGTGACGTGGTAAACATGTGAGAAAAAATAGAGATTGCGACGTGTAAACCACGTCACTACATTATTTAATTAATAATTCTCTCAAATTTAAAATTTGTAACGTTGAGTGCTATGTTTTTGGAGGAGGGAAATTCGAATTATTTAGAAATTAAGTTTGGCGTGGTAACCACATGGGAAACAAAAATTCAAAAATATCTTTATTTTTGTGATGTGAAAAACAAGTCAGAAAGTACCCACATGGTACCCATGTCGCAAATGGGAAAATATTAAAAATGATCTGCATTTACTTTTACAGTTGGAACACATTAAAAGTTGATTTGACTTTTGCAGGTCTTCCCACATGATTACCGCGTCGCAAAGAGAAGACATTAATGTATTATTTTGATTTTTTTACCATTGAGTGTCATTTAATTTTTTAATGTTGAAAATAAAATGTTGGGAAAGTTCTGACGTGCTTATCACGTGGCTACTTTCCCAAGTTGATTTCACGTCGCAACTGATATGCCTTATTTATTGTTCCTACGTGGTATGGGTACTTTCCCACGTGTTTACGATGTCACAAATTAGACTATATAATGCGAAATCTCAGAACCCTCCCTTCACGCATTTCTCTTTTCCTTCCTTCTTCCTTCTTCCTTCTTCTTTCTCCATTCTTCATTACTTGCTTGCGTTATTTGTGCTTCCTCTCCTCCTTCACTACATTTCACAGACATTTTCGATAGGTATGGTATATGTTCCGTTCTTACTTTTTATTTTTGTTTTACATTTTATTTTAATTTTTTCTTATTATTAATTTTTCCCCCAGAAGATTAAGATTTGGAATATTCAAGAAGAGCTCATCAAGTCTAAAGATTTAAGCTTTAGTTTTGCTCCATTAAGGTATTTATGTAATTTAAATTATTTATTTTTCAGATTTATAGATATATGAAATGTTTGGTTGTTGTTGTATAAAATTAGAATTATTGATTATATATGAAAAACAGAATATATATTATATTTTAAATGTGAATAATATTGATTATATATGAATAATATTGTATATGAAATGTTTGGTTGTTGTTGTTGTATTTAAATATATTATTTTTATTTAAAACAGAATATATATATTATATTTTCAGTATACATAATTGTAAAAAATAATTTTTTAAAAAAACAGATTTTTAAAAATAATAAATATATATTATATTTTAAATGTATTATATTTAGTAAACAAATTATATATTATATTTTAGAATATTATAATTTAGAATATGTATTATATTTTAGTAAACAGAATATATATTATATTAGAAAAAATAGAATTTTTAAAAATATTTTTAGTAAAAAAAGTTGTAAATATAAAAAAATAAAAAGTATTTTTTTTAAAACATAAAGTTATGTAGATTAAAAAACAAAAATGTAAATATTTTTAAAAAAAGTATTTAGTAAATAGAAGTATTTTTATTAAAAAATAATGAATATGTATTATATTTTAAATATGTTATTTTTAGTAAAGAAATTATAAAATATAATATTTTAGAATATGTATTATATTTAATAAACATAATATATATTATTTTCGAAAAATCAAAATAAAAAACATTTAAATTTTAATTGTATATATTTATATTTTAATTCTAACCATAATATATATCTTTTTTTAATGTATATATTAAAAAACATTAAAAATTGTAATTGAAAATAATTTAAATTTTTTATTTTATTATTTATTAATTTGTTGTATTCATTAATATTTAATTTTTTTATTATTATTAAATTACACAGTGAAGTGAAAACCAAGTCATTAACTTAAAACAAATTTTCTTTTGTGGCATGGGAACCACGTCACTAATTACTGACATGAGAATCACGTGCGAACAATAAAATTTTTATTGTTGCCATACTGAACGCATTGCAGGAATTTTGGAAAAGGAGATTTTCTCGTGGGAACATTTTCAATTATTTTGGTGGTTTGTGGCGTGAATCCCATGTCACAAATTAGTGACGTGATTTTCACGTGGAAAAATGTTTCTACCGTTGCTTTTCCGATGTGTTTTACCCATGTCGCAAATTTTGTTTAGTGACGTGTTTTTTGCCTTAGTGACGTGAATACCATGTGAGAAATTGCAATATTTCTTGTAGTGAGTTTAACAATAACTAGCTACTTTTCTAGATAGATATCCAAAAATTTGTAAACCTTTATAAGATTCCATTAGGGAAAATTGAGAAACTTAAGCACAATAAATTTTCAAAAATCAAAATTTCTGCTTGAAAAATGATACAACATGTTTGTACACCAAATCATTGGCATTCACACCCATCATGTAGTCAATATGAGCATATTCATGAATGAACTGAACATTGAGCTTGGCTTTATCATAGTTCTGAAAGTGTAGTGAAAGTAATCTCTGAACATCGGCAACATCGGAGAGCGCGTCTTTACCACCATAGCTCATGAAAATTGGAATATTGTTTGGAATGTTTGAGAGGTTGTAGATTGGAGGTTTTAGTTGTCCATAGTACCCTTGATTTATTTCCCTTCTCCCATAGTTGAATTTCGCCACATTATCATTTAAATATGCTGCATAAATTTATAGCATATTAGTTTTAAAAATTTTTGAATCATATATTCAAAAAGAAACCCTAACCAAAACAATTTTGGTAAAAAATTTTCAGTTAGGGTTAGATATAAAAATCTTATTAGAAGATAAATGAAACAGGGTCTTTTTTGAAGTTGATTGAGGTTCAACTTGCGCGAGCCGAACAAAGGCTGCTCGATCTAAGCAACAATTTTCACCTAAAATAAAAGAAGTACAAATATTTGTTATATATTAATTTAAAAAAAAAAAATTTGTGAAATTGTGTCAATTTAAACTTTGATAGAGAAAACAATTTGTACCTGTTAATGAAGTAAACAGGTCGTTGCAGTTTAGTCTAAAGGTAGCACAGAGAACACTGATAAAGCGAAGGGTTCTACGCCTAAAAAATAATAGTTGAAAAGAAAATATAAAATATAAAATTAGTAAGGTTAACTAATAGATATAATTATATGATACTATATAATAATAGATTTTGAAATATGAGGAAAATCTCATAATGATAAAATTGTATAAACTTTTAATGATAAAATTGTAAGTTCAATGTACCTACCCTTTAGGTTCAAATTCAGTAAAGTCTCTAGCAGTATATTTTTGTTTAGAAAAAAAATAAAAAAATAAACTCAAGTTAGAAATCTTTTTCTATTTTATAAAATTTATACTTCTAAAATATCCAAAATAAATTTGATGCAATAAGTGATCTCAACCATTTATCAAGATCAATCATCTAATATATTATTTGACACTAAATAAAAAGCTTTCATTTCGAGTTTTAGATTTTCTAAGGTCACAATAAAAATCTTATGATTTCTATCCAATGACGGCAGAAAATTAAGGTCCAGAAATAACAATAATAAAATATTAACATGATATTTTTAGTTTTATTTAGTGAATAAATTTATATAATTTATTTTTTATCCATTTTATATAAATATATTATATATTAAAAAATACACGTTAGAATTTTTGGCCAATAAATTAGATTTTTTTTACCTAAATAATTCACTTTTCAAAAAAAAAATCAAACTATCCTACTTTTCAAAATATGTAGGCGTCATACGACGACCCTTTGTTAGGGTATGAATAGTGTTGTCAATTGGATTGGAGACATCTCATGAAGTCTCCAATTCAATTGGCGACTTAGTGTAATATACAAAGGGGAGTCGCCAATTCATCTGGAGACTGTATAGAAACCGAAATTTTTTTCTATAAATAGAGGTGTTCTGATCATTTAGTTACACAACTCATCTTATATCTTTGTTTCATTGATAGCATGTATCGTCTTCGGTGGGGAAAAATCGTCTATTAGAGAGAGAAGCCTCCGATGGACATGCTGCTTTGGAACATACAAAGTTTCAATCAACTTAAGAGAGAGCTGAATCGGTGGTTAGAAGGGGACATTGGGGAAGGAAAAAAATTCAAAGTATCGAGAGACTTGATCGACTGCGTGGATGGGTTCGTGTTAAAACTGACAAGGATGTGAGAAAAGTCATGTTTGGACCGAATGAAATTAGTTTGATTGTTGCAATCAGTTAGGAATGTTTTATGATTCTTTTCTGTTAGTTGTTTTATGTGTCGTATGTGGTGTGTGTTGTTAATTTGCGGTATGTGTTGTGTGTTGTTAACATTGTTGTAACAAAGACTTATCAGTATACGAAAATAATAAGTTATAACAACTGAAACGATAAGCTAAATCATGATGCAGATCTTACTCCGACATTGGGGCAATTTTTTCGGTTGTGTTCGGGCTAATCACATATACAGGTGCATAATCTTATCACTTTATCAGTTGTATCCATTTCGGTTCTTATATGCTTGTTGTTTGAGCGTCCATTTTTCTTTCTTCGCATCTCATCGTTGTGCCAAACTGTGTCATCTTGGTATGAAGGCTAATATTCCTCCATTGATAGCACAGCGAAGCCTTCGTTGTAGACATTCATAATATTAATCGCCTTTTAAATATTAGATAGATGGCTATATGCATCCTGATGAGCATGTGTGCATGCCGCAATGACATGTGAGCAAGGTACACGGAATGCCTGGTACTTGCCACAGTCACACCAACATCTGTTTAGTCTGACAGTCAAACACTGAATGTTTGCGTATGACGGTCGAACACTGTAACTACATGTGTGTTGGCTTTAATAATATCCTCTTTTATCATTTTCATTATGCTTTCACTGAATATTTGACCCAACATTAACATTGCACTCCATCTTTCGCCTCTTGTTGCGAAAAGTGATGTCAACCTATAATAGGTTGATCTCACCAAAGCGGTAATTGGAAGGTTTCTAATTCCTTTGAATACCTCGTTCATGGACTCGATAAGGTTTGTCGTCATGTGGCCCCAACGACATCCACCATCAAAAGCCCTTGTCCACTTTCTAGTGGAATGTTATCCAACCAACTTCCTGCACCTGCATTTGACATCCTAATTTCATTAAGATAGTATTGAAATGTTGGTTGAGTTAGAGCATACCCGACATTCACAAGTTTTTTGCGAAGGTTCTTGTCTTTAATTGTACGCATGAAGTTTTGTGCAATATGTCTAATGCAATATACATGAGTAGAAGGAGGATTATGCCACCCGTTAATATAGTTATTGTAAGCACTCGCTATAGCAGCATGCCTGTCTGAAATCAAACAGAGATTGACTTATGGAGCGACATGTGTTCTGAGATTCTTAAGGAAGAAAGTCCAAGCAGAAGCGGTCTCACCTTCAACCAAAGAAAAGACTATGGGAAAGACATTATTGTTGTCGTCTTGCGCAACAGCCATAAGCAAGGTACCCTTGTATTTTTCATAGATCCATGTTCCATCAATTTGAATAACAAGTTTGCAAAATGCAAAACCTTTTATGCATGGTTGAAACGACCAAAAGAGACGGTGAAATATGACATTTCCATCAACAATAGTTCCATCTAGCCTACATGTCGGCACTGTCTGCATGATTGTAACACTTCCTGGTGTGTATGTCTTTAGCGCTGCCAAAAATCGTGGTAATTTCTTGTACGAATCTTCCCAGTTTCCAAATTGCGGTAATTCCTTGTATGAATCTTCCCAGTTGCAAAATATGAGCGTCGTAAATGGATGAACCGCAACGTCCATGTCTTATGTGACCCGGTGATGGCAACCCCCTTTATACCAACTAATAATTATATGGTGTGGTACAGATCGGTTGCAACTAAGTTTGTCTCCGAAGAGATGTATTTATACGATCCACTCCAAACCACCTACACACAAGAAGCTTCAACGTCTAACCTACCAAGCAGGCCATGTTACTCACAACCCTATCCAACAAAATTACCAACCCAATAACCATCCAAACATGTCAAACACCCAACCACAACACCAAGAGTGTCCCCTATACCATCTCCAACAAAATGATTATTATCAACAAACCCAATATGGTTATGCCCTTAACACAACATCAAGATATAGCCAAAAAGAGGGTACATCATACCATAGTCATTACATCGAAACATCTTTCCATAGCCAAAACGCTCTAAAATCATACCCTAACCTACACACTCAAACATCTCAACAATCTTATGACTTTCAAACACCACTACCATTTCAACCTTTCACCAATGAATCCTTCACACCAATGTCCCCATTCAATCGTTCAGGTCGCACTCCAATGACCCCTTCATCACATCCGAACTACTCTGGCATGGGTCGCACGCTCAGTTTCAACATACAAGACCTCATGAAAATGCAAGAAGTTCTTATGGAACCATTTGGGAATGTTCTTGAGACTTCAACTCCTCAAATACCTTGCGGGAATCAACAACAAGGGGAACAAGTGCAACGAGTGAGAGTCCCGAGGAGATGTGGAACTAGTGGCCAGTATGACCAACCTGGTCGTCAACATCAATTTATGTAATAGTATTTTTAATTAATGATAATGTTATTTATTTTTGGTAAAAAATTTACATAATGCACTTTGTCTCCAGATAAATTGGCGACAGAGTATTAAGTATTACACCAAGTCGTCAATTGAATTGGAGACTTCATGAGGTGTTTCAAATTCAATTGACGACACCATTCATGCCTTAACAAAGGATTGTCAATTGGTTTGACGCCTACATACAATCAGTATTTCAAACTGGGATAATTTAGGAAATATTTTGAAATGTGGAATTTATTTTGAAAAAGTTGATTATTTTAGTTAAAAATTCAACTGATTGGTCTAATTATAAATTTTTATTTTATTTTTAAAATGACATTTCTATAAGAATAGATAAAGTATTAGACATTTTAATTTAGTGTGTTTGGCCTAATTATAAATTTAAATCTTTATTTTTGAAATGATAAGTTTAAATTAAATAGAGTTTAATTGTTATTGCATTATTAGTATAAAATAATTTTATATTATTATTTATTAAAAAATTATCAATCTATCATGTCATATTATCAGACTTGGCCCAAACACAAAACAAATTAAACCTTTGCGTTAGGCCTCACTTTTTTGAGTCATATAAAAAGCCTCTAAATAATGTAATTAGCAAATAAATGCTAGCAAAAGTAAATTTATCAAAACATGTATCATTCAATACTCTCTATTCTTAAATCAATTTTTATAAAAACATCTATCATTCAATATATTTAATGATATTGATCATTATTCCATGGTATGATTAATCATTTATTTTAAAATGTTATCTATTTTTATATGATCATAAAAAAAATTAACTAAAATCTACTATTATTTCACACTATAAAAATAAATATTTTTAATGAATAATTTTAAATTAATTTCTAAAATAATACTCTCTTTTTAATATAATTTTTAAATTATATATATAAAAAATATTTTTATTAAAAATCACATTAAATTAGTAAATTCTATTCATACT